AGCCGAACATCTGCAGGCGATATCTCTTTAAACAATTAACAAGAAAGCCGTAGAGGACGTGTATTTTTTAATGGATGTAATTTGGTAGCCGCGTTAAATCGGGACGTGATGCACACGAACGGACCGCTCGTGTGGCATTAGATTGCTGACTAAAGTCAATGGTGATTCTTAAAAAAGGAGTTAATGTCGTATTCACGACGTATGCTTTAGAATAAACAGAACAAAGGCAATGGAAAGAACAACGCGTAGATATAACTAATGGTGTGTTTTGATCTCGCAATGATCAGTTTAACAACGTCGGTGCTGTTTCGATTTCGAATGGAAGGCGTGTTCTTAAATATAATATTTTTTATAGTTTTGATAATGAAAATCAGTAGACAACCATCATTTAATAACGTTAGGCTAAATATCTGGAGTGATCCAAATCTGCATTTCACATTATATTTCATACATATATTTGTATTTGGTAATTCATTAAATAGACATTTAAAATGTAGGTTTGAAATAGGATTGGTTTTATCTAGATTAACTACATCCCTAAATGCGGAATTTCACCTTTTTTATTTTAGTAATAGCATTATAGGCAAACATAATAATACAATCATAGAAAAAAGATGCCCTAGAGGAAATATGTGATTCTAGCAAAGTTAACTCCGAAGTCGAGAAATAAGTCAAATATATTCTCAATTTATCAATCTGCCATGTGTTTCATGTGCACAAGCGTCTGTTATAACTCATTAATCATATCAGAGTGATGTTTATATTATTTTCGAATGTATTAGTAATACTTTTCTCGTAATTGCCCGTCTGTATCCGCCCTTATTTTATTTTGGTCACCACCGCCGTCGGCGCCCGCTTTGACGTCTAACAGGACATTAATACACTATGACTTTTTTCTCTCCCGTCACATAATTTACTTTTTTCCGCGATGGTTTTTTTGTGTCCCATTAACTATTAAGCGACACCAGTGCGTTTGACAGTGGGATTAATATGTTGATTTCGTTAGCGCCGTGACATATCTAATATTTCGGTCGTAAACGAGCCTTAATATACTCGACCGCAAAACGTATTCATAATTTGTCAGTGGATTTAAGTCGCAGCCGTCCTTATTGTATAGTCATAGAATTGAAAATGTCTCAATTCCAGTGCTGTAAAAACATCTCACGGGACAATCTGTATAATCTACCGTACATAATTGCAATAGTAAAATATTATACAAACTGTTACTCGTCGTAGAAATAGGAGGTCGCTAATAAAAACTTCTTTTAAAATGTTGTATTATACGAGAAAATCTCACAGCGAACATTCGCTTCAGCTTAGTTCATTATAAACATGGTTGTAAAAGTTTAAATATCTACAAGTATACACGAACACAGTATTTGTTGATATATTTATTTATTTATTTTTATGCGAAAAGTTGTCAAACGAGCAGACGGTTCACCTGATGTTAAGTGAATACCGCCGCCAATGAACATCTGCCACACCTGAGGGTTACAGATGCGTTGACAACCTTTTGAAAATTGGGCTCCGGCTACTTCACTCAACAGACGAAACGCGAAAGTATTTGTCATACTTCCGCTTTACACTGGTCTTCTGTGACGCCGTGGTACTTACCCGGACGGTTGTTGTTGAGAACAGATTGTGGGAATGGATCGTCCTGTTATCCACATAATGAAGACACCGTGTTATTCTATACGTTTTAATCTATTCGGTGGCATAATGGCAGCGAAAACAGCTGGGCCAACAATGAATGATGGTCGTGATATAATTTACATGTAATTCACGTTTAACCCGAAACGATCTTGTACCCGACACTACTAAGTATCATCTAATTACGCCGCGCTAATTGACGTTGAAACGCTGATTGATAGAGCACGTGTGTGAAAGTTTGTCCGTCGGTCGCGATAACGCATGTATACGTCTTGTATGACACATGAAATATAGCGTTCGTTGTTATCTCTTGTTTGGATCTGTTCAAAGGAATGAACGATCATTCAGCTTCTAACTTCTTGCTGTAAGCGAATCGCGACCAATCTCAACCTTGTTCCTTACCGAAGTTTGTACCTCCAGAACGTTCTAGATCATCGTCAGAAAAACTTATGTAGTGAGGCTTTAGTTGTTTTGGCATTGTAATGTCAGCACTTCCTTACTGAAAAATATTTAATATAACACCAACGCACATATTAGCGTCTGTTATAAAAGATTAAAACGTCACTAGAAATTTCGACGTATCCTGACAACTCTCTTCCTCTGTTAATTAATTTTAAATGAGGTGTTATTAATTTTTAAGTACACGTAAAAGTTACGCGTGGCGGGATGAAAACTGAAGGCAATAACATTCGATATGAGCATGTAACATATATTTTGTTAATACTAATTATTTGAAAGGGCGATGGTAGAAATCGGACGGTAATCGCATCTGATTGACATCGAGCGGAACTTAACGCGTTCACAAAATATGCGAGCGATGCATATGCATTAAACGTTTATTCGGTTTCAACATACATTTTAATCGGCATTTAGAATTTTATTAACTACGATTTCAGATTCTACTACGATTTCGACAGGTCGCGGTCATCGAATTAGACTTTTACGATGATATCACCGCGCTGTACGGGTTTTGAGCGGACGTATCATCGAGATTGGATTTTTTGATACAGTGCTGTGTTTGAGAACATCTATGAAACAAACTCGTATTTGTTATCGCAATTGGTAGAGATTTAGAATTTAGAATTTGGTAGAGATTTCATCAGAAAAATTTTAAAGATTCACCAGGTAAACAATTCGTAAAATAAAAACTTAATTAAGATTTGTCTTGTTTGGTCTTTTCTTCTGTCTTGATTAATATATTGGGCTAATTAATAATATATGACATTAATGTATATGATACTAGCTTGTCGCCCCCGGATTCGCTCGTGTTGAAGCCCTTAAATAAATATCTTTCCCCCTTAAGAACCCTTTATAATCCTTTCTCTTATTAAAAAATAGCCTATGTCCTTTCTCAGGCTCTAGACTATCTGTGTACGAAATTTAATTTAAATCAGTTCAGTAGTTTTGGCGTGAAAGCGAGACAGACAGAGCTACATTCGCATTTATAATATTAGTAGGGATTGAGTACCAAGTAAGATGCGCCATGGCAATGGTTACCTCGGTCTGTACCTTCTCCAATATTATTATCTCTTAAGTTTTTGTTATTCACCTCTAAATGTGTCCTAATTACTGTGGCTTAGAACAATAATGAATAATAATCTTCTTTCCGAAACGGCTGTTACGAAAGTTTAAGCGGCATTTCTTCCTTTTTAAAACTTTGGTCGGCTATCTGATTAGTCTAATGGCGACTTAACTGTCCCACGCAAGGGTCCAACGGCCGCCATAAATCCACGTTTGCGCTTAACAGGCGTTTTCTAATACGAGATTTCCACATGAAAAGAATAATCCGACGTTCGTAATCCGACCCGAGGCCACGGAACAGATATCGCCGCGGCTGATCTTAGAAATTTGCGTCCGTCAAAATTTCTCCGAACGGGTCGAGGCAATAAAGGCCCGGCGATTTGCTTACTAATACGCCTGCTCCGCGGGACAAGTTTAAAAATCGCCTCGCACGGATCACATCGGCATCGGACCGCGGGCCGCTTGGATCGCTTTGTCTTAAAGGTTTTATTACGCGATTTATTAAGTCGGGGAATGAAGCCACATACCGCCTGTCGTTCGGTCTCTTTTGTAGCTGTTATTGAGTTGCAGCCTTGTTTGTTCACCGTGGGCACGTTTTATTGCATTTGGACCTAAGTAACGATTGCAAATAATTACTCTATCCACCGTGATATGTCTTTATTGTTGGTGCAATTAAAGCGCTTGCGTTCAGATCGCGGTGAATACATCGCGTCCCATACTATTAACAGTCGAATGGAGATGTTTGAGTTGTAATAAATTCATATTATTAGTATGTAAATTTGAAGAATTTTATGTGGTAGGGCTCCGTAAGAGTCTTTTCTGTAGCTTGAATGGGCAGGTTTCTCCGGGGATCTACCACTACCTCACAAAAGACCGGCGTGAAGTAGAAGTTATATACTTTTGCGATTCATCTAATGTGCGAGGCTACCGCCTGACCCCACTTTATTAAAAGGTGGCGTCAACGCTTCTACAACTATACGGGTATTGAAAATGTCCAGCGAGAAATGGGCAGGGATTATCGGCAACAATAAAACAATTGAACAATTGTAAACGTCAATACGAACACCGAAGTAGTATTTAAATTCTAAAATGTTTTTAGCATATAGGAGAAAATGGTTTTGTCTTCAGTTTTTTTTATTTGAAACCAAGTAGATGTTTATCCAGAGCTGCGAGATAGCTCAGTATCCGGGCGCTCGCCTTTAATTAAATATACTCGAGCAACCTGAGTTCGATCCCCGGTGCCGGTACCAATGAAGTTTTTAACTTTAAGTGCTGACTAATCACATGCTCCGCGGTGAAGGAAAACATCGTGAGGGAACCTGCATATTTTAGAAATAATAACAAAAAAAATATATATTTCAAAGAGATTTGAAGTCCGCCAATCCGCAGTGGGGCCGCAGTGGGGCCGCGTGGTGGACTATGCCCTTTGGCCTTTGCCCAGCAGTAGGACATGTATAGGTTGTTATTTTACTTTACTTTAAATGTTTATCTCTTTGAATGTTTTATGTCGCTCACCTTACTGATAAGAACAATGTGGAACAGCAGCTTCTACTGTTGTACATGGACAGGCTCCTCTGGGTACCACGGCCTCACAATTGATCGGTGTGAAGTGAGCGACATAATCGGGCCCTACTTTTCTAAAGGGTATTTGGCATCGCATCCACAAACCCACTTAGTGTTGTCCATGGCCATCATGTAAAAAAACTAGATAACTAAAGTACAATTTTTCAACCGATTTATTTGTAGTACTTTTTTCCTGATGTAAGCAGATCCTGCATTCAAGTTTGAACCTTCGGACAAACGTTTTACATTGTATTTTCCTCCGACAGACGTGAACGGGGAGCCACCGAAGCTCAAATGCAATCTGAGGAAGCACAAGCCAAATCGGAAACCGCGGACGCCGTTCACCGCTCAGCAGCTGCGAGCGCTTGAGAGCAAGTTCGTTGACAAGCAGTACTTGAGCATCGCTGAACGCGCTGAATTCTCATCGTCGCTGGGACTGTCCGAGACACAGGTAAATAAAAACTACGCATTTTATGCCCATTTCTTTTCTTAACTGTATTGAAATTATTCAGCCAGTCCCAAAGCAGGAAACACTTTACGATTTACTTTTAAAATAATTTTGATACCTTCATAATCCAGAGTCAATGATAGACGTTTTATAGAGTGAAAAAGTTGCACTTCATTGAAATAAAAACAGTCAGGGAAAATCAAAAATGTTTTATAGTGCTAGTCTCTGCACTTAAGATTAAACATTAAAATTTGTAGAAAAAGTACGAAAAGATTGTCGCCGCTGTGGGAATCGAACCCACGCCTTCGGCATTCGTGGCCTGACGCTTTAGCCACTAAGCTAAACGGCTGATTGCCACACCGAAGAAAATCTTAACGTTTGTTATCTAAATTGTTTTTTTAGCATTTGAAGCAATACTTGGCGCATCATTGTTATATTCTTTCCAGCATACAAACAATTTCGAATTTCGTTTTTAAATTTTTTGTTTGTAGTGGTCGGTGTGGCAATCAGCTGTTTAGCTTAGTGGCTAAAGCGTCAGGCCGCGATTGCCGAAGACGTGGGTTTGATTCCCACAGCGGCGAAAATCTTTTCGTACTTTTTCTACAAATGTTAAGATTACTTTTGTAAAGAAAGATAACTGCGATGCTTCAACTATAGTACATTAGTACGTAATACATCAAGGCGACCAATTCATTTTTCAACAGTCTTAATGTTCAACTTTATATATCTAATATGGATCTTCTCATTCCAACAGGTGAAGATATGGTTCCAAAACCGGCGCGCGAAGGCGAAACGCGTGCAGGAGGCTGAAATCGAGAAGCTCAAAATGGCGCAGTTTTCCCGCCACCCCCACCACCTGTACCCGCATCCCGCGCTCCAACAGTATTTCCATCCCCACCCCCTCATGGGGGGAGGGCGCCCCATGCCGCACATGGGGCTGCCGCCTCACTTGTCTATGGTGCAATCCCCTGTCTCGGGGACTCCCTCGCCCAGCACACAGACGAGCGGCCAACAGTGAAAAGCCAATGAGGGTCAAGTCAAATGTATTACTAACGCTCCAGTCGTGACGTGAACACGTTGTATACGGTTATGCAGCCTTTGGTTTGCTTCGGCTCTATTTAAATTTAGAATGTTATTATACGACAAAATCTGTGGTGCGTTTTAAGAATAAGCCGCGAAGTCATATTTACGTCATTGGTTCGGTTTGTTTTGGTCTCCTCCTCTGTTTTCCGGAGAAAAGAATGAAAGTCTTATCTTATTTAAATTTTAATCCGTTTATTAAATGAATTGTAGAAAAAATAAGTATTTTTTTACAGAATACCGTATTCAACTGTCGCGTCATAAGCGCCAAATAAATCCTTGGTCAAATTGCACTTCAAAGTCTGGTATTTAAAGTTTATCATTTAAAATCGAATGTTTTTTATATAATTGATATTGTGAATTTTGAATATTGTAAATTATTATGTAAATATTAGAGTAATAACTGTAAGAGTCTAAAATATTACCGCAATCCTTTCTATTAAGTTAAATTAAATATTATTTAGATTTCGTGAAAAAATTGCTGGTCCTTCGTTTCTTTCTAATAATTCTAGTACAAAAACTATTCGGTTTATGAAGAAACGTAGTGACAAATTCATGGATTTAATGTAAATATAAATAAATGTCGTTAGCTTGTAATTTGTACTTATGTAGTTAAAATATATATTAATTACACATTCAAAACTTGTTTTATTTTCATATCCAAAGACGGGCAAAGAAGAAACGTAGACACCATATGAAAGTAACATGTGGTGTCGATTTAGTTAAGAGTTCCATTGGAAGTTATCTTATTTAATTATTATCTTGTTAACATTCAACTGGATCGTTATATTTATACGTGACAATATTTATTTTTTCTATGCTAACATTTTTGGAATTGGTTCTTCTTATTTACTTATCGTCACTTAATAACTTTAAGTCCATGATAGCTATTGTAGATAGGTATTGTAAGTTTCCTTCAAATTTAAGCTAAATGTAAGCTTAATTGAGTATTGTTTATATATGTCACACAGCTGATTTAAGGTCTCCTCTACTGTGCTACCTTATTATTGATTGGCAGAACACAGATCTATTCGATACTTGTTTTTAATATATTTTTTGTATACGTTTCATCCAGATGTTTTTTCTTAATGCTGAACATGTGATAACATTGCAAACGAACAATTTCATTGATGTTTCAACGCGGGTTTCTGGAGTATACTAAATTTAAAGTGAGCGCTCTGACACTCATCTATCACATTTGTTGTAACACGACAAATAATGACAAATAATGCATAACGACCCTTAAAAAGAGACAATCGGCTATTTTCCGATTTGTAGACCTTTGTCTCTTTCGCACACTAGTACAACGACTGAAAAACGTCACATTGGTTGTTAGTGGTTTTTCCAAAGAATGATGCTTAATAATTATCGTCTGGGACGTCAATTACTACATATCTCTAAATAAGCTTAATAAAGTGTTTCGAATAATAAATGAAAATAAATTTTATCAGGTACTTTTAATATGAACTTGTATAACGAGCAGATTTTCAGATGTTCTATTGGGTAAACTACTTGAATAACCGAACAATTCTGTCAGGTATTTTATAACATTATTATCTTCTCCGTTTCACGCCGTGAATTTTATAAAATTTTAAATTGTACGCCGCTCATTAAGCATTCGTATTGCGCACAATAACCAGACAAGAACAAATATATTACATATGTCCGAACGATGAAGATACGTATCCTATCTTATGATGATGTTTATTACGACACAGTTTCAACGTTGACAGATCGGTATGCGGAGAATTCGGTTTGTTTACATGCGATGTCCAGTGAAATATTTCGGTCTGTATCTCCACTAATGTTTCTCGGAATATGGCATTAATTTGGACACCCCACGGCGAGCGAAATACACGCCCGAGTCGAGCGTTCAGTCAAAGATCGGACTCGAATTAATCATATACAACTAATTGGTTTCGTATCAAATGTGCGTTTGTTTTCAATCTTGGCAGTTTAATTAATATTCAAACAGAATTGAACCGAATTTTGTACTAGTGTTATAATTAGTTACTTTTCTAACGAAATAAATCTAACAAATAATAATGATAATTCAAGAAATTATCTGAACATAATAGCTTATATAAATTAAAAATTTAGTAAGAACGGCTAAGTTGCATTAAGCAAGCTAAGGGGCGCGACAAACCATCAAACTCAATCCTCATCACATTGATAATTGAACGTTTGGTATTTCATTAACTTGCGTTTTTATACGAACTAGATGATACGCACAATGCCTTTTGGAATAATAGTCAACGCCAATTTTGACTTGGAAAGTAAATAAAAGTACAATAGTTTTAAAGCAGTATCTTATTAATTTGATAGTAAATTTAAATGATTAAACACACTCGAAATGAATTGATTGCTCTAGGCTCTTTGCTTTCAAGTCGACTTCAAAACATTTGTAAACATGTTTATTGTCAAATACAAAAAAATGTAAAATTTGGTTTAAAAGAAACTCAGCAGGCTTTTCTTATCCGAACCGGTGGTAGCGTTTTTACAATCAATAAGTGGGTGTAATGCTTCTATATTGAATAAAGATATTTGAATTTGAGTAATCTTATCCAGTGAGGCGGTTACACGGTACAAAACACATACATATGTTACAACTATTAGAATATACAAGATTTTACTACAGGGTCCATATATCGATTCGGTAGCAAGATCTTACCCGCGACGTGAAACCTATTGATAAGTAACCGAAAGATCGATGTTCTGATTTATAAAAATATTAATATCAAGAAGTCCAATTCAAAACATTTACACTTTTTCTTGTGTGAATGGGTAAAGCTATAGGTACTAAAATAATTTAAACAGAATCCATTTTAGGAACCTAATGAATGCAATCTTATCATAGGGTGTTACTATTAATACTTTTAGGAATAGGATGTGTGAAAATGTGATTTACTCTAAAACTTTTAAACTGATCCGGCTTTAGAAAAAAATTAACGCTTGACCAATGGCTTTATCAGCGGTTCTCATCTGGAAAACCTACAATTGTAGGTGGTACATATTGCGATTAGTAAGTGCATGAAACGACACTTAATTTTGGGTGGTGGGGCCATACAGTAGCTTTTACTGTTGTACAATTCTCGACTCGTCCAAGAAAGCCGTTGTCCCAAAACTGACGTCTATATACTCTTCGTCTCACATCGTATGTAAATAAACAAAATCTGGACTCACCAGAAGACGTAACCCTAGACCAATCATATTCTTTCCTTCGGACGTTCTCGCAAGCAAACTGTAACGACAAAACGACTTAGGGACTTTCAAGAAGAGAGCGTATTTCTTCTTCAAAGGCCAGCAACGCATTGGTGGCTCCTCTGGTGTTGGGGGTTGGGTCCATCGCATGGGGAATACATTCTTCAGGGCTTCAACATGTTGCAATCAATGATTGGTTGCAATGAATAGTCTGGGCAATCAATAGAAATTTTTAATTTTAACAAAAGGTCGGTTTAAATAAAAAGCCCAGAAATTATCCTCGTTAAAATTTTGCATATTGTTTAATTGTATTCGTCTATCCAGCTGTTGTTTTTATGTTATCGAATGGCTAGAGGTTAAAATAAGATTACGTTCTGTTTATTACTTTGTGGGCTTAAAATTAATAATGATAAACATTATACCAATGATTTGAACTCACAAACCTACTTAGTACCAATCCACCAAGTTGGGGTTTTACGATGAACCAGAGTGTGAGAGAGTGTTTAACTCTTTTTTAATCATCACATATTAATCGATAAAATTCATTTATAAATATGACATACTTATAAAGAGAGCTTTGCTTATCTGTGGGACAAGTATACTCTGTTGCATTATGACAGTGTAAAAGTAATAAAGTCATATACTAGCGCTCTTTTCGCAGATAATAAACGACGTGATTAATGATAATTATAATGTGTACGTTCTCATCTGTGTAGCACTAATTTAAATATATCCATTAACCATTAAACTTAATTGTCCGATAAAGAGCGGGTCGGGTCGAAATGATAAACAGCAAGATATAGGGGGTAAAGTTATTAAAAACAGCCGAAAAGACATAACAAGGAAAAAACTTTTTTAACGAAACTGTAATTTATGGAATTGCTGTGAAATTATTAAATTTGATTTTTCCTTTTATTAAAGAACATTTTTTAAAGCGATTAAAATAAATTTTTGAAACCGCTTTCGAAGAAGTTGTTGCAATTTTTATTGCTTATTGCGGACTTATCAGTCTGCGATTAATGAATCATAAGGAAACCAGCATAATTGTCTGATAAATAGTAAGATATTTCGACGAATATTTTTATACTTGCACGATCCACTGCTCCAGGAGTGTTTGTTCGATTCTCTACAAAAGTTTTTTGAAGAACATAGCGTTTACCTAGTGTCTAGGTATTTATATGTATTTATTAACAGTAGAAATGTATGTTTATTGGTTTTCTAGTACACAAAGTACAAAATTTGCTTAATTTGGGACCCTAAATACGTGGTGTCACAATTATATGTCTAAAAAAGTAAAGTAAAGTAACAGCCTATACATGTCCCACTGCTGGGCAAAGGCCTCCTCTATACAGAGGGTATCAGGGCATAGTCCACCACGCGGCCCCACTGCGGATTGGCGGACTTCACATATCTTCGAAATATTTTTTGTTATTATTTCGAAAATATGCAGGTTTCCTCACGATGTTTTCCTTCACCGCGGAGCACGTGATAAGTCAGCACTTAAAGTTAAAAACTTCATTGGTGCCGGCACCGGGGATCGAACTCAGGTTGCTCGAGTATATTGAATTAAAGGCGAGCGCCCGGACACTGAGCTATCACGGTAATCTAGTAATATTTATTTATTAATATAACAAAAACTCCACCAATCTAATCCTCCGGGCTGTGACTGCAATTTCTAAAGCTTTTACAGTTGACACTTTGTTCAGTTTCATATATATAATATTTTATATATAATATTTTGTGCAGTTGTGCTTGGTTCTTTGCTAATAAATATCTGTTTACTGAGTAAATAATCAGTCAAATCCGAGGGCAAATAATCAATTCACACGCACACAGCCCGATATGTATGTATGTAGATGTGTCATTTCGTTTGCAAATTAATGATACAGTCATCACAATCGACCAATTGTCTCCACGCGCGTATTATGGTGGAAAAGAGAGTTGCGATTGTGTTTAACGCGTATCGGGAAGTCGTTTGCAACGTACAATCATTTCACAAGTTTCACTCTTTCTCAAGAACTCGATCCGAAGGCGAAGACAAATCGGCTCATTGTATGTCACTCTGCGCTTGTGCAATCGCGGGCGTGGTATATCTCATTTTTAATGACTGTACGACTTGGGTGAATGCTTCTTAATTGGCAACGCAAAAAGAAATCATATCCGCCTTTAATTAAAGCGTCATTCATTACGATTAAGTTACTTTATTATTATAAATCTTGTGTTGGTAGCTTTGTCTCTATCTGATTATCGCGATAGTCATTTGTCGAAAATATTTTAATTTATGACTGAGAAAATAAGTATTGTCTTTAATTATAGTAAGTGTACTTATATCGATAAAGTTACTTATGTTTTTATTAATAGTCGTGTTAACATTTTTCTCACAGTATTCTGCGAAATATCGCATGGGTCGCATCCAGTATGTCTTTATTGGTAAAACAGAAAATCTATTTTTCCGCCTTTGCTTAAACTATGTTAACTTAATATCGTTTAAGCTATTTAGCTATCAATAATGGTTCTGCTATCATCAGACTCATGTAGTCTCAATTTCAACGATTTCTCTTCTCCTGGATTCTTCTAATGTTCCTCCTTTAAAAGTTCGATTACATACAAGAAAACAATTAAAACTTTTAATCAGCCTGTACTTTAAAAACATTTTTTCAATGTTTACAAACGATATTCCGTGATATGTACGATAAGTTTTACCTACATCGAAGTTTTGTTGTCCCATTTATAAATTGCTTTGTTTATCAAATTATAATAATTAGATTGGTATAAACAATTTGAATCCGCTATCTATTATGGTTGGTGAGATTGTTTGCGTTACATGATGTAATAATTCGCCGAAAAACATGTCGCAAAACTGTTATCGGTGTAGGATAAAGTTGTTTAGTGTAATATAATTACGTACAGCATAAATGATAATGTCTAACTGAATTTTAAAGTTTTTTATAGTGCTAATCTCTGCACTTAAGATTAAACATTAAAACATGTAGAAAAAGTACGAAAAGATTGTCGCCGCTGTGGGAATCGAACCCACGTCTTCGGCATTCGCGGCCTGACGCTCTAGCCACTGAGCTAAACGGCTGATAGCCACGGCGACGAAAATCTTAACGCCTTCTTTCTACATTATAATTTAGCATTTGAAGCAATGCTTGGCACATCTATTGTTATATCCTTTTCGGCATAATACAAACAATTTCGAATATCGTTTTAGACGAAGACGTGGGTTCGATTCCCACAGCGGCGACAATCTTTTCGCACTTTTTCTACATGTTTTAATGTCTAACTGATTTTTAAAATTTATAGATGAAAAAAAATTCACACCGTTCTCGTTAAATCTTTAATCGTCGCAAAAGAATACACTCCAAAAAACGAAAACTAAGACTCAAGAGAATACTAAGACTCCCTCCAAGAACGATACGCGTGTGTATCAAATACTAATCTTGGTGTTTTGTCTTTTTGAGATTATATTTTAAAAACACTGCAACAGGTCAACTTAATAATTCTGCCTATATTGGACTAAGTGAAGTAACCAAAATTAGAAGTTCTTTTAAAGTGAAACGTCGGCAGCAGAAGACCAACGTAAAGTGGAAGTATGCAAATACTTTCGCGTTTCGTCTGGTGAGTGAGGTAGCCGGAGCCCAATTTTCAAACGGTGTCAACGTATCTGTAACCCACGGGTGTAGCAGATGTCAATGGGCGGCGGTATTCACTTACCATGAGATGAACCGTCTGCTCGTTTGGCAACTTTTCACATTAAAAAAGTCGGCAAGCAAGCTTAAGTGGTTCACCTGATTGCTTAATTGAAGTTAAGTGGTTCACCTGATGCTCAGTGATTCCGCCATCCATAGACATCTACAACACCAGTATGATTGTAAATGCGCTGCCAACCCTTAAAACAACATAAGAGTGAATGATTGAGCGAATTATTGAGCTAGCGCACTTACCATCAGGTCAGACGGCAGTCAAGTGCAGGCCAGTTTTGAAATAAAAAAGCAGACCCTGGTGATAACTTAGCCCGTTAGCCACGATAACTTGCCCAAGACAACTGAAAATATTAAGTGTTTTAAAAGAAAACATCGAAAACAAATTGAGTGCGCTAAAACACGCAAAATTATTTATATTTACAATGTGCAGTTATTTGAATTGTTAGATGCAGGCTCACAATGGTTGCTCTGGCAGACAAGGCACGAAACGAAGTCATTCGCCAGAGAACTAAAGTTACGGACATTGCGCGCAGAATTATCACGCTGAAGTGGAAGTGGGCTGGCCATGTCCCCAGGCGTACTGATGGTCGCTGGAGCCGACACGTGTTAGAGTGGACACCACGGTTAGGAAAAAGTAGTGTGGGACGGCCTGCAGGACGATGGGCTGACGACTTAAGAAAGGTGGCGGCAGTGGCAGATCCTGCCAAAAAAAAAGATAAAAATTAAAAATTTTGTAGAAAATTGGACGGAAAGTTCTTCGCCTCTGCGAAAATTTAAAGCTACAAAACTTTTATAGATTAAATTACTATTAATCAGCGTAGAACTAGAGATGGAGACACCGTATCCCTGCAACACTACAAGCACACCAATCATCGACAGGAACGAAACCAAACGGACACATGCAAAAACACAGCACGTCGCGGGCGGTTCCAAATTCGAAAGTCAAAGAGCGGTCACGAGCGAACCGCGGCCCATTTACGAGCAAAGCGATACATCCAGCTCCACCGCTCGAGCGGCGGGAAGCTCCGAGCTAATTAAGCCGAGACGCGTTCATCGCGTGCGCAATTACACCGTAATTAAAAATAACTTATTAATTTCGTACTAAACGCGCGGCGCGGCAGCTCTTAATTGTCGAAATTAATCACGCTAATGTTGCGTGGCTGTTAATTTTCAGGGCATAGGGGGCGGCTTTGTGGCCGAATACGCTGGTAGCGCTCCAAGACGACGCGGTTACAGCGCAGAAAAGGCAGTAGTGAAGCTGTTGCCGAATTTATACTGCGTCCACCACATTGGAGACTTGCTGTAGATAAATAGGAATTTTAGAATAAGGCGAGAGTAAATGCTTTTCAATCGATTTTTATTTTTGATAATTAAAAAGAAAAAATATTTTTAATGTGTGCTGGCTGTTCCCCTGATGTATATCAGAGTTAAAACTAATTGCTCTACATGCTGTTTGTCTAATTAAATAGATTATTTTATTGCGTTATTTTTTAAGGTAAATTTTGGTACACAAGTTGTATCACGAAAGGGCCTTTGCACCTCCGAGCTCGTTTCGCGAAGTTTCTTCCTATTTCTTGTAGACAAGTGCTTAATCGATAGATCGTAGATTTACACTGTATTAAATTGTGTTAAACATTTGCACTGTTACATTGCGTTAGAGGCATAGTACACTCAATCATAGTTTCTTTGATCAATGGTCCATAGTATAGTTTATACTTTGCTCTAGTCTGTACCAAAGGGTATATCATATAGTTATTAATATTTGCTCTGCTTCTCAGATTCAAGTGGACTAATTTGTCCTGCTGATTGTTTACACTGTGGCGCATTACAGAGCTAAGGCACGCTCATTAGGAGGCACTCAGGCGCGCCGGGAGGAGATAGCTCGTCGGGAATGCGATCTGTCATGTTGCCAGCAGATTCTGCGTTCGGAATCCAAATAGACGGAACGCTGCTGTATACGTTGTTTTAACTTCGTCCATCATACGACCCTACTGATGATCTGGAAACCATTGCTACGCCGTGGCTGTTTTCATACAGAGATATCACTGATATGAAGTGCTCAGAACGGCTACTTTGCACACTATATGACTCAAAGGTTGAGTTGTTAAGGTGACAATCCTGATCATTGCATACTTGGACAACCTGAATCTCTGTACCGGTGCCAAAGAAATTGTTAATTTGTTACTCGGGACACAAAACTTTTTTCGGATATAAAAACAGTGCTGGTCTTCTTACGGCAGACATCGAATTTCTGAGTTTCCATTTCGAATTTCCGAAACCCAAGCGTTTCCGAACGATTTTTCCTTTTCACATATTACCTTCATTCAAAAATCGCGTTATCGCGCAGTGTACACACTCGATGCACTCTTGCACATGCGTTGACAACGTTTAATTTAGTGGGTCTCGGTTACCTCACTCACAAGACGAAACGCGATAGTTTAATACTTCCACTTCACGCCGGTCTTCCGTAAGGCCATGGCTCCCCGGACGCGTCTATCCATTTGTGAATCAGCAAAATCTGTGTGGCCCTAACACAATAAAACATTTTTATACTCTGGCTATAGCTTCTTATATAGCTCTTCCCACATTATGGTTAACATTAGTATTATTGCTGCCACCATCGCTCCGAAAAGTTACGACACGATAAATATTAAAACCAAACACAGGGCCATAAATTACTTCCATAAGCAACTGGTTCTCTAAGGGTTCATACCTCGTTCCCACTCATAATCTATATAGACGCTAAGTACAGACACCCGCGCTGCTTTATCGACAGACGCATTTCTCAATCACTAATAATTAATGATCGACTCGGTAATTTATTGGCCCGACCATAATAATTATAATGTAACAATTATTGTTCCGTAAAGGAGACATTAAGATAGGCCCTATCAGCGTACAGAGCGCCCGGTAGCGGGCTTTAAAATCACAGTCAGTGCAATCGATAACAGCCCGTGTGGGTATCCCATAAGAGTGAATATCGTGTGGGTTACAAAGATTGATTAGTATTTAGTGTGTCGCTTGTTGTACTTATCGAACCTCTCAAGATCTGGTGACAAAATTTTCAGTTTTAAAACACGGAGAACGTGAATTTTGTGATTGTACATTTGAATGTTTGTGATTTACATTTGACGACTGAAGAGAATATATCCTTGCTAGTTACGATTATATGTTTGTTGGTTACAGTTGATGAGTTAAGTGGTAATTTAATTAAGTTTTGACTTAAAAAAATAACAAGTACACGAAACTTAGATTTTAAGTTAAACATAGAATAGTGAACTCTGATACGGCGTCTATTATTTCATGGTACAGACATTTTATTTGCAATAGAGAAACGTTTGACGATTTAGGATATGTATAGAAAAAATCCCTTTCGACAAAATGTAAGGAAACGTTAATTAAAGAACAAAATTGTAGGTGCACGTTGTGGTCGTACAAACTTAGCGGTAATGTAAGATCTTATTCTTTTATCTATATTTTCGTTTGCTTTCAACTCTCGATCGATTCGATGCGAAATCGATCGGGGCCCGCATACCAGTAAACGATTTCGTGTCGATCGACGACGATCGCACGCTGCGGTACCGCGACGGTCGCAAGAGAACCGTCCCGACGATTGATAGACCGAGCATTGAGTGCTTTATGGCTTCCTGTACGGTCCGCAGATAAACCGGCTATTTCGGGAGCGTTTTGAATGAGAGTATGAATGGAGCGACGGCCGTACGGACCCTTATCTGCGTAGGAAGCTGCGCATGTGAGAAATGGTATGTTTACCGCGTTAGGACGACTTGTGCGATCGATGAGCGTTATTAATTGTTGGGCAGCAAGTCGATATCATTTAAGTTGCAATTAGCAAAATCAAACGTATAAGTAAATATTTCCAGGACAATTTTTTTTATTTTCTCACGTTATCTAAATTTTTATTGTGCACTTAAGATGAAACATTAAAATTTGTAGAAATAAGGACGAAAAGTTTTTCTCTTTGCTTGTGCTGTCAGACATTGCTTTTAGACCAAAATTGACAATTCTAGGTCAACCGGCAGTAACCTATAGGTTTTGGGTTGAAAGTATCTGGTATAAATTTCAACTTGCTAGATCCAACCGTCCCTGAAAAAATCGGTGGTAATGGGTATAAGAGGGTGGATAGGTACGAAACCCTCTGCGTATGAATTCGTCTCGCACTTGACCGGTCTTTTTTTACTAAGACACAAAGTGTACTTGATGTCAAAAATAAAATGACAAACACATTATGAAAATTATTCAAATGCGAATAGTAAGTAAATCGTTGATTAAAAAAATTTGAAACGATTTTGAGATGAAAAATATTGGTGTACTAATACGTGTCGATCAATAAAAAGGTTTAAAAGTTTACGTTCCACATTAAAGAACCTTAACACGTCCAAACACGTATTGATAATTACGCGAGCGGCCTCTTTTGTGCCACTACGGGCGAACGGTGCCGCGCTCGTGGCCCACTTCAGGCGAAAATATTGGATGCCATAAAGCGATAACACTCCATGATTATAAACAACGAAACGTTTTGTTTATGTCTCTGGTAGTTTTTGATTTTCACCCTTTAGGATTAGGACAGGTGAGGTCTAGAAGGCTACGGTTTCCATGTACTTTGTATTTTTAGGATGGTTGTCGGCTGAGTGACGAACGCGAGACCAATTTACTTCAACTGTGTTCATTTGGAGTGTGTGATAAAATGTGTATCACTCCTTTATGTTGTTGGCTTCGTGATGATCTATGCGTGCGGTATCAGTCCGTAGATTATAATGTAAATACTACACAAGGCACAGAGCTCGTAGTAAGGCCAGGTTTTCACGAGCTTAGTAGACACTATCTAATTTATCATTGACAAAATTAAGGTGAATATCAGCTACGGGATGTCGACGTTCGTATGCGGACTGTGACATCGGCTATTGTTTGCATGTAGTTATTATACATCAAAACAGGTCCCATAAATCTAATCGCATATCTTTGACTGTGTTGCAAGCACGCCAGTCAATACCCAAGCAATCAAGTCCCTCGGCCGAGGGTAAACCGATATTGGACCTCAAACAAACATAAAAATGGATAGTAAAATTTTACGACCTCCGATTTACTGGTGACTGTGAACTATTCCAGCTCGAGAGATGGACCATTGTACACATTTTCACATAATGACACTCTTAACGAGCTTAAAGGAAACATGCCACTAACGAATTATCCGATACAAGTGACGTATTCGAATTTGTGACCGTAAAGGGGACATTTATTTGTATTGTGTCATTATAAAGCAAAGAGTTACACGATCTAAGTATGCATTTTAGATTAGTGGACCGTTCATTTTTGACTACTTAAAACCTCTAGAAAAATCTTTACTTCTATACCACTCGAGGAAGGATGTCTGATGGCATTTTGTGCTATGTTGATTTTATATTGTATCAAAGGTTGAAAGGTTAGTTTTTTCAAAGAAAACAATGCAAGAAGAATTTATATACCATTAAATTTATGTATCACTTGTTCGCACTTATCTGACCTCTACATAATCAAAAGTCGAAATTTCTTTATTCAACATAGGCTTATTTTAAGCTCTTATAGAAAGTCAAACAGTACCACCACTAAACTAGACCTGAAAGTGAAGAACCGGCTAGAATCTCTGCGGTTATATTATTTTTTTTATATATTATTTAAGTATAAAAATAATTATTTAATTACAAAAACATTTAAGTATAAAATTTACAGGAGCCAGGGGACTTGCAAGTGTAGAGCAAGAGTCATTTCCACACATCCCCGTCCTCAATGTATTCCTTGACATTATAATAGGCCCTTCCCATTAAGTTGGCTTTTACAAAATGTTTGAAATTGTAATAATAAGGTAAGAAGGTTAATAAGATATCAATCGATAGTGTTATAATGAGAAAAACGTTTTTTTGTTGTAAGGTGGTAAGCGAGCATTCACTCACTCATCAGACAAACGTAAAAGTATAATACGTTCAGTTTATATTGGTCCTCTGTGACGGTATGGTACTTTCCTGAACGACCATGCCTATTTGTACTACACCACGAGAGAGAAAGAGTTTCCCTTGCAAAAGGGGCTAAGTACTGAGTAGGAAGGTTGCTCCATTGCAGTGGTTGGGACACGTAACAGTCTGCGTTGTTGCACGAATGGTCAATTCCGGGGAAGTACCATGACCTCAAAATAGACCCGCGTGAAGTCGAATTTTAATACTTCTGCGCTTCGTCTGGTGATGTAGCCGGGGCATACATTATTAAAAGGTGTTGTCACTTAACATCAGGTGAACCACCAGCACATTTCCC